GCTAAAATTAACATTGGCCTACCGCTTGAACTAATAAAGTGCCAAGGGCCTAAGTGGTCACCTTAATATTAAAAAAAAAAAAAAAAAAAAAAAAAAAAATTCATTTTTAATATCAGGTCTAACTCTATATAAGAAATGGGTTTTCTTCTGTGCTGGAGTATAACCGAGTTAATTGCCATATTTCTGAATTTTTACCCAGAATAAAGGTACACTCTCATATATACCTTGTCTTAATGCTCCAATTTCTAACATCTTTACATATTTATTAGCAGTTGAATAATATTTTTTTATCCACCAAAGCCTTTGTTCAGATCGTATTCCTGCTAGAATAATAGGAACACCTCCTCCAGCATTTGGTGCAACTGGTACTGCATTAGTTGGGCATCCTCCTACTATTGTCCAATCTTCAGAAACAGGGATAATTTGTGCATCTGTAAGTCCAAGTGGAACATTTGGGAAAGAAACGACTGCACCTATTATACCTCCTGCATTAGCACCACGAATATGTGCTATTGTTGCACCTATACTAGAGTTATCAAGTACATTTTCTAACTCCCAATTTTTATTGTCAAATTCTCTATGATACCATTCTCTAGCTTCTCCTTTTAAAGATCGATCTAATATAGTGAGAATATTTGCATCATTATTTACTCCAGCCAGGTAATATATGATATTAATCTATCTACGAAATCTTCATAATCTTCTTCATCACCATGGAATTCTGGTTGTGCAAATCCTACAAGTAATGCCATCAGTTAATTTTGCTGATTATTTACTAATGCAAAATTTTGTTGCTATAAATTTAAAATATTCTGATTTTGATTCAGAATTATTTGGTATTCATCTTTAGTTTTATTCTTCCATTTTTTATACCAATCATATAGTCGATCTCACCAAAATTCATCAAGAGCTCTTTCATTTCAACAGTTCTGTATTTGTATATGCTCATCCTTAGTTTTATTCTTCTATTTTATATATCTATCATGTATTCAGTCTTGCCAATATTCATTAAATACCCGTTCATTTTCTAATTGCTGCAATGCCTGATCTCGCTCTTGCTTATATATATTATGATTCCACTGTTCGTTTACCAAATCTTGTTGCAGGTTAGCATATTTACGTCGAATTGATCTTGTTGATCTTTTAATTTGATTTGTTAAAACAGTTTTACATATTGTTGTATTATTTAAGGATCTGTCTATAGCATCGGCCAATTCAGCTATTGTGCTCATATCTAAATCAAAAGTATAATTATCTTCATTATAATTCCATACTTGTGCATTTTCTAATGCCTCTCGTGTATTTATAAGCTCTAATCTATCTCGATATCTTAATAATGCTAATGCAAAATTTTGACAAAGCAGGTCTGTAATACAATTTTTTTGCTAATTTATTTTATTAATCCTATTTATTTGATTAACTCTTATTGTATTTATTTCTCGTTTAAGGTGTTCATTTTCATTTACTAATCTGGTTGTATAATCTTGTGCTTTAGGCGTATTTTTAGCTGATTTAGATATCTTTCATTTTTGGGTTTTTAATTTTGTTTCGCATTCATCGAATTCTGATATTAATCTATCTTTATTAGAAATTTCTTTGTCTTTCCTTTTATTTTCTTCCTCAAGTTGGTGAATGATTCTTTTTAATTTTGAAATTTCTTCTATTAATTCTTCTTTCTCTTGTATAGAGAGTTCGATAGCATTATTTAACTCTTTTTCAAGAAATCATATTCTCTCTTCCTGTATACCTATAACCCTTTCTAAGGTATATAGACGTTGTTCAAAATTCCTATTTGATTCTGCTAATTGCGATACTACTTCATAGAGTTCTTGGTTAGTTTGTTGTAACTCCTCCATGTTTTTTATTACTATAATAAAACAAAGAAATGGAGAAACTTATAATTTATATTGATCCACAAAGAGCCCGTAATTTGGATAGGGAGATTACTTTGCAAAAAATTTATTATAGGCCTGAAGGTTATTATCGAACAGCTGAAAAAATGCGGGATGCTTGTAAGAAGGCAGAATATGAGTTCACTTTGGCTATAATAAAAAATTGGCTTAACAAACAGGCCTTATATCAGATTCATAAGTCTCGGCCAAAATTTATCCAATATGCTTCTTTTAATAGTATACATGATTTAAATGAAGTACATCAATCGAATACTACTCCCATGCTCTATGATAAAATTGGCAATCGAATTTACAAGCACAGAGGAGTAATAAAAGATGTAGCAACTAGATTCTGTAAAAGTTATGCTTTAACTAATAAATCGTCGATATCATTAGCTAAAATGTTTACGAAAATTTATGGTAATCCGAATTGCCCTCTTACCTGGCCTAAAGTTTTAATTGTGGATAAAGGTACTGAATACTTAGGTGAGTGCAAAGATTTATTACTTAGCCATGGTGTAAAAATTCAGTATGCTGTAAC